TTACAATTATTCTGAAATATACAGGGTAGTCCATGAATAAGGGATGGACGAAACATACTTTTTTTTTAAAAAAACATCCTATAGATACTTACGAATAACAAATTTGATTATTTTTACACCGTCAAACGATTTTAATAGACTTTTGACGTTTTGCATTTTTTATATATTTGCTGTTGTATATAGGGTGTGTCAAAACGCGAGATTACGGTTTTCATCAATTATTTATCTCTACTTTTTATTTTGTTTGGCATTCTTTTATTTTATTTACAATGGTTTATATTACTTGTGACGTCGGGGGAATATAAAATCATCCATTATATCTGACAAATGGGTTAACAAAAATTAAATGAGTAAACAAGTCCGTATATTTTCAAAAACCAATTTGAAAATTTTTTTTGTAAATTTTCATGATAAAACCCATCAAAATCATAAGAAAAAAATGCGTTTGAGTATAGAGAATGCCAAACAAAATAAAAAAAAAAGAAATTAATTTATAAATTGGTGGTATAACATACAAAGTATTGAAAAAGTTGAGAATATCGTAACACACACCGTGTAATACATATAGCAAATGAAAGAAAATGCAAAACATTTTTAGTCTTTTAAAATTGTTTAACGATGTGAAAACAACCAAAACTGTTATGTTCAACTACCTACAGGATGTTTGGTTTAAAAAAGTATAAGTTTGATTCGCTTCGCATTTATGGACTACCCTGTATATTTAAGAATAATTGTAAAATATGGTCGTACAATTTAAGCATTAAAATTTCCTCGTATCTCCTATAATAACAGTTATCGATGTATAATAGGCTAACATGTCTATATAATAATAATAATAATAATAATAATTTCATAATAATCATCGTCAGATAAGGGTAGCTTCAGGCCGAAGTTTTGGCGGGGAGCCATGCTAATAACAATTTTGATCCAATATTGGACGTGAGAGTGGTTTTTAGCTGCTCAATATAAAGATTAACAAGCCATGTAGAAACTAAAAGAGGACTTTTTCTCTCCTTAATCCAAAAGCGAAACTAAGACATGACATGTTGGAACGACTAGAAGAGTTTTTGTTACCCAAGTCATATTTAAATACTTGACGTTTTGTACAGACTTTGGAAATGCCGTCTGTAACCTCTCGGGGTAAAAACAATCAAATTTGTTATGCGTAAGTACCAACAGGGTGTTTGATGTACAAAAGTATAAGTTTCGCCCATTCATTATTCATAGACCTATTTAAGAATAATTGTAAAATATGGTCGTACATCTTTTGCATTAAAGATTTCTTCCTATCTTTAATAACAAAACAGCTATCGATCAATTATGCATTGAATTTGTATAATAGGTTGTTGGTATCGTTGGATAAGTAAATTCATAACAAATCTAATGCTAAAACAATATATACAGTGTTACATTTGAAAAAAATTAATAAATTGAACTTAAAATGAGCCAAATTTAGGACATGTTTCAAAACACTCTGTATATAATAAACCAGTTCTATCATTACTATTCATTAGGTTGGTATCTTATAAGTCTGTATTTTAAATAATTTTATTTGCTATTTGCGTCATTCTACATTTCACAAAAAAAAATAATTGATTGGCAACCCTGTAATTATTTTCAAAAATATTGTTGGCTTAAATACGGTTTTACAAGGTTATTCTACAACTGAAATAAAATATTGTTTTTTATTTGCTAGGTAAAAGCATAACATCCTGTATATCCAAAAATATTTTTAAAATGTGCCTTTTTTTAATTTCATATAACCAAAGGCTTCTAGTCCGTTTCCATCTCTACTTATTAGCAAAAGGATTACTTTAAACTTAGGGTACGTTTTTAAAGTCAACGTAAAATTTATCGATAAAATCCATCGGATGGAATGGCGATTGAGAAGGTTTTCAGATGAATAAAAAAACGATTAACAAACAACGCTTCCATGTTTGACAAATATAAAAAAAATACATTACAGAGGATCAACTACAAAATTTTGCTTTTTCATATTATATTGTCCTCTATCCTCTGATGAATAACTTGATAACAAACTAATGATGACTCATCTCGATTGATTAATTTGAATAAAAAAATCATCCATAATTCAAAGAAAAAATAATTTATTCAATTTCAATTTTAAAAACCTCTAACTTCACAATTATGACAGAAAACAAAAAGTTCGGGATATCCATCCACACCCATTGCATTCATCGGTCTTCAAACTTGATGGATCTTTGTACATTGATTTTTATCAACCATGATAATACAAACGGTTAGATTAAAGTTTGGTTAAACATGCGATGAGATTAAAAACTTGCCCTTATATAATTTATAAACTATGAGGTATTCGCGATTCAAGCTAAGTGATACGCCCTCTGGAGGAAATTTGTGGAAAGTCCCTATAAGTAGGATATCGTTCAGTGTTGCCAGAAGTAGCAACATTTCTCTACATCGTCGGATTTTAGCTCTTGAAGAAGTGGATAAGACCTTTTATTTAAGAATCAAATTTGTGTCTAGTAATATGTAATCATACTCTATATTTATTTAAGGAGTTTTTTATAAAACCGATTTATTATATTATTTTTTTTTAAATTTCAGTTCATTCATTAATTTTGTTTTAAAATCAGTTCATCATTTGGCAACATTGGCGTTCGTGTTCATTGTTTATATTTTAATTTGTATCAATTATTTGTATCAATTACAATTCGAGTTTTTTCTTACTTTTTAGCTTTAAATTTGTTTATTTCTTATAGTATGTGATAGTGTTTGTATTAAAAATGAAATCTGCAAAAAAGTCCCCTGCAAATTGCAATCTATATGGTGTTAATGTCAAAATCAAAACTGAAGTATTCATTATTTTCCTAGTGCAAGTCGTAAAATTTTGTTTCTTACGATAATTGGATAATAATATCTACAAATTCACAATATTGAAATTTTGCAAAACTTTGTTTAGAATCAAACTGTAATCTGATTTATGACGGTTTTATTCCCATTTATATGTATACAAAGTACTACACAATTCACTTCATAATATAAGAATAAGGATAGTAAGATTTTTAAGTAAGTTCATCAATAATAAACGTTTGGTACCTGAAATGTACTTCAAACCACATAATAAGACATGTCCTGGGTTTTTTTTTTTTTTTTTTCGATTTATGGCCTAGGTGTATATACCTAATATGCCAGTCTCAAGTTTGTGTTTTAAATTCTCAATCATGTGTGTTCTGTGTAGGCTTTGTTACTGTTTCCCAGCGCCACTTCAGGAACAGCACTGTTAATTAGAACCCAACAGTGAATGGTCTGTCCTGGGTTTAGTAAATACATATTTCTGGATATTCTTGTAGCAACCAATAGGTGAATATTTTCAACAAATTAAGTCATACACATGATAAATATTATATTTATGACGAAAGCACGAGAAATAAAGTTAAATTACACTAAATGAAACTCAAAAACACTATTACAATGAGAATATTATCTAAAAACAGTTAAACAAAATCACAAATACTAAATCCGCCCAAAACAAACACATGTAAATAAACAAACATCCTACTTATAGGTGGCAAATGACAGGCGCGCGAAAATTAATTTGAATCGCGAATATTTGACAACTGTCACTAACTAAACTTGATTGAAATGTCAAACAAAATTTGTTGCAAAAATAACATCGCTCAACGGAAAAAGAACAGCTCTCGTTTATTCAAACAAGCAAAAAAAAGAAGCAATAAGTTAAATTATTCAAATAATGGGATTTTTATTGTAACTATGAAAAGCAAACTATTGATACAAATGTCAAAACAATAGTTATTTGTTTACCAAGGCCGTAAAGTTGATCTTTTTGGCCGACTCAGAAATTTGTGGCCAAAATGATCTACCTTACGCAACCAGTTGCATAATGTTGAACAGTATGAAACTGGTTTCGAAAAATTCATTACGTCACCAGTTGCGAAAAGAAAACAAATAATAATAAACCCTTCTTGGTTTTAAAATCAATAATATGTATTTATTATTGAAAGTTTATATTAAAGAAAGGCAGGTTGACTTATAAAAATAGAATTTGGTTAAACTTACAACCTAATAATAGTAATAATAATGCTGTTTTAGTCCTTATTTTCCAGTTCAAATCAGCACAAAATAATTAAAACATAAACGAGAAAATAACCCACTTTTTGAAAACGAAATAATTTTAATAAACAATATAAACACACGCAAATCGTTGAGAATAAATAATTAATAATGATGTTCTAATCGTGGTTCTAATTGTCAATAAAATTATGCATATGCAACTAACAATACAAGAAAGTAATATTGGTTGCCTAAATGTCAGTAATGTTTAACCAAAATACAATTTTAGTCAAAATTAGATAAAATATTGTATGTAACACGTCACGAAATGCCGATTTATGTAACTCGTTCATGTTGCGGGACCTCGCTCTGCTCGTCCCGCAGATATTCACTCGTTATATAAGGCATATATAGCTATTAGACTGTATGTACGAGGATTATCCGTAAAATAAAATCTCCATTTGTTTTTTCCACAATGAAAAACGTTTATTGCAATGAATTATTCATTGTTGGAAAGCCTTTCTACTATTTTTTTACATAATCCTAATTGCTATCGATGCACTTTGTATTTGGTGTAGCATTTTTTGTATACCCGTGTCATATAACACTCCACCGCGGCGCTCCCTCTTCTTTACTAATGTGAAACTGTTTTCAACAATTGGCCGAAACTAGTTGACCACCTAATAAATATAATATTGTGGCTGTGAGTGACGTCATAGCATCCGGCCCATAGGCTGTTGTTTACTAGATCCTTATGTTAACGTGCAAATGAAAATCACTCTATTACTCTGTGAGTGACGTCATGCGCGTGGCAGACGATAATTGAACACGGGAGCATCCAGCCCTGACAAAGTACCTAAAGATAACGTTGAATGATAATGATAATTTAACGTACTAGTTAAAGGTTTTTCAAGTTTGATAAATTTTACATTTTTTATTTTTATCAGAATCTGACAAGTTCCGAGAGATGGCGGCCGCTACAGAATCTCCACCTAAAGGCGCATTTCAATTTACCGACGATCAAGAATATCCACCTCTCACCCAGAATTCTGACTGAGATATGCCGCAAGAAATTGTAGAAATCGATTTGCTGCAGCTGTCAGTTAAGGAAAGGTTACAGCTAACCTGCGTTTCAATTTTAGTAATTCATCTTGTCGTTTGTTTGATAGAAGATATTATACTGTACACATTTGATTTTTTTATATAACAAAACAGTTTTCGGCTATCCTTTAATGAAAATGACAGGGTTGCTTGGCTTTTATTTTTGATCAAGGATTTTACCGAGTGCAACGATCTAAATTGGAGGTAATGTAAAGTGGGGTGATTTGAACCATAAAAAAAATTATAAATATTAACCCAAACTCAGTATACAGTACTTATTTTGCTACCTGGCATGCAGTTATAATGTAAAGGGATATAATTGGCAATAGCGCATCAGATCGACCGTAGGGAGGACACACCGCACGACTAGCGTCTATCCCCTAGGAGATCACATACGATCCTCGATCCTCTTACGTGACATGCGCTGTGAATCCAATCAGACGATTTTAAAATGTAAAATAAGTTTGATTACAGATGGTTGTTTCTTTTACTTTATTTGCTACAGTACAAAGACAAACAGTATACAGTGTGTCCACGGATAAAGTTCACAAAGGAAGAAAAATCGTTATGAATTTTACCAGTTTAAATTAGATTACTAGAGATGGAAAAAGTGAATAAATAAAATTCAACAAAATTTTATTTAAAAAATATAATACAATAAGAATAGGAATCACATGTGGGAAACATATAAGAAATTAAGATGGCGCTGTCACCACAATCGGGCTTAACTTATTTTTTCCTTGGCTATTTAGAAAAATTCTAGTGCGATTATTTGCAAAAAAAAATCAAGATAACCGATTTAGTAAACATTTTGTTGTTAGAAAATTTTTATTTAGACTTTGAATTATAAACAACTTTCTTTCATATGCATTTTGATTTAAATAATAAATAATATTTCGTTCTGCCATATACGTTTTATGCATTTGAAACATTTAAGATACCTATTCTAAAACACATGAAGGGTTCCAAAAAAAAAGGGGCTAGTCAACAATTACCAAAATGTTAGGGAAAGCAAATTTAAAATTTGAAGACTGACTAAATACAAACTTTTGATACTTTGAGGTAATTGATTACAAAAAGATGTTACTTTAATTTACTAGACAGTTGTTATTTTTTAATCTTAAACCAAAAGTGCCAAACAAACATTAGAAAAAGGTGCCAAGTCTCTGGATTCTTAATTTAAATGCACTTTTGTGCGCTTATTTAATAATTTTGCTTATTTACAGGTATTTTAAAAAATATGGCGATACCAGTTCAATTTTGACAAAAATGTGATTTAAAGGGGCCCTACAGTCTACGATTTTTGTGAGATTTGAACCGTACAGTCCATAACTCAACGTGAATTGTTCGATCTGACTCACATCTGGCCTCTCCTCTTTTGTCTAATGAGAAAATGAGTGAAATGAGCTAATTAAATCTTGTCTTTAGATCAGAACTGTGCGTTTTAGCCTGCAGGTCATATCGGAGCGTGTAGGGCCTCCATTAGCCCCTATTTTCCTCTACTCTTCATATGGAAATATAAGTGAAAAGACTAAAAATATTACCAAAAGCAACCATTGTGCAGATAAGATGACATAGACAGTTTTTTAATACTTCCGTCGAGCATACCTTAAAAATTCTTAATAAAGTGGTGCATCATCTAAAATATTCTAAAACATAAAATCCAATACTTACATTTTCATATTTGCAAAGTGAAATATTTATATATTTGCAGTAGTGGACTTAACTATACAGGGTGGGCCACCGGTAATAATAGTCAATATTTTATGCCGATGCACTATTTTTTGAATTCGATAGAAATGTATACAGGGTGAGTCAACACATAATTTTCTAGTTTTTTAAATTGACCACCTTGTACTTTATATCACCATTCAAAAGTACATTAATTAAAGTTTCATTTAAGTTAAGCAAGTTAATAATTTTGGGAGATTTTTAAATATAAAGAAAAAAGAAAGATCATTAACAAAATTCTTTCATTTTAACTAGTTGCTGGTTACTAGGAAATAGATTGTTTCTTAATTGGTAATTGGAATTTAACCAACTATAATTTTTTATCGACTGAATAGGTTTTTGACAATACCTAATTCGACTTTTATATTCAATAAAAAAAAAATAGCAACCCAAAACTTTACATAATACCTACTTTGTTCTGAGTTTATTAAGTATTATTTTGACAGAATTTATTTAATTATAAAAGTTTTTCTAAGTATTCTCCGATAATATTTATGGGTGATTAAAGGTCCAACTCATATTTCTAAGAGTTTCCTGAATAACATTCGAGATACTTCTTTTATTCACGACTAAAGGTCATATTGAAAAAAATGGCTAGACTTTTTTAAAGACAAATATTGCAACACTATTGGTATTAGTAATAACAAACTGGCAGTATTGGGTTTCAAAGTCAACTTAAAAATACACATAACCAAACTTATATGGAATCATCTATTATTTTTCATAATTTTTGAGATGTATGAAGATTTTTTGTTTATGAATAAAACTCAGTCCTTACCAAAGACTTTTAATGACAAATATAACCCACATAGCAATAAAAATAATTCATTAGTTGACAAACTAAACACAATGGTATTTTTTTGATTTCTGAAACGAAATGAGATTTAAATTTTTAATAGCCGAAAAGCAAAAACAGAAAGAAAATTGGTTTAACAATCCGTGTTATCACCTTTAACCCTTATGCAAGTTTCTATTCGCCTTGGCATGCTTCTTATTAAATTGGCAATATTGTATTGGGGTATGTTTTCCCATTCTGCTAATGCTGCATCAATAAGCTGTGCGACATTTCCTGAATTGTTTCGACGAGCTCTAATCCTTCTTTTGAGCTGGTCCCACAAGTGTTCGGTAGGATTTAGGTCTGGTAAACATGCAGGGCAGTCTAAAACTGTGACACCTTCTGTTTCAAGATATTCTGTAGCCACTCTGCTGGTACGGGGAGGTGCATTATCGTGCATAAAGATAAAATTATTCTCAATTGCAGCTCTCCAAAGCCTTACGATTGGTTAAAGTTTGTTGAAGTGGTAACAAGGGAGTTTTTGCTTCCAGCATAATACCTGCCCAAAACATTACAGTTCCTCTTTGATATCTTGGGACATATCGGACAGGGTGGAGTCTCGCTCATCTTCCTGGAGCTCTGAGAACCCGAATTCGATGGTCATCTGATCTTAGGCTAATTCTGGTCTCATCCAAAAAAAGAACATTTTGCCAATTCTCAATTGTCCAGTTTTGGTGTTGGAGGCACCAATTTAGCCGATCAATTTTATTTTGCCTAGATAACGGTTGGACTCTTTCCTACTGTACAAACCTCGTGCGCGAAGTCTTTCTCTTAGCGTTTCAATTGAAACGTTCACATCTGTAGCATCCAGAAGTTGTCGTTGTAGCTCTAGATGAGAAACACTGGGATTTCATCAAGTAAATTGCCACACAAAGCGGTCCTGTTGTTCAGTTGTGACTCTTTGACTACTTTGTATGGGCCTGTTCTTGAGAGTTTCTAGTTCCAAATACCCTTCATATGTTTTTAATACAACATCCTGGGTATCGCTTACTACCTCTGCTACCTCTCATTGGGGCATTTCTTGTTCAATGAGAGCAATAATTCTCACCCTCCTGCATATCTGTTAGTCCAATATAAGGCATTTTGTTGTTTTTTTTTTTTTTTTTAGACAGAAATAAAGTTACCGGAGAATCGTGATTTTACGTCTGAACACAAAATTCACAAGATAATAAATCTCAGCAGTTGTTTCTTCTTTAGTATCATGTTTGTTAAGAACAAAAGGCCTTATCTTAAAGTTAGTTACCAAATATTTTCTTTACAAAACGTTATTTAGAAATACATAGTGATTCCATATAAGTTTGGTTATGTGTATATTAAACTTAGAATAAAGTAGGTCTTATATTGGAGTGAATCCATGATCGGTTGGCTATTGATATTTAATTTTAACTGAATGTTAAAGTCCTATTAGAAATTGTCAAAAACTGTTTAGTCGTTCATAAATTACATCTAATTAAATTCTAATTACTCATTAACAAACAGTTTATTTTCTGTTGACCAGAGGCCAGTTAAAAATTTAGGTATTTTGTCAATTTTATTATCTTTTTAGTAATTTAATTTTAAAAATCACCCAAAATTATCAACGTTGGGTATATGGAATGATTTATTCAAACGAAACTTTAATTAAGGTACTTTTAAATGGTGATATAAAATACATAGTGGCCAATTTAAAATAAATGAGAAAATTATGTATTTGAGTTTTGATTTGATTTGTTTTGAATTGAAATAGTACTAAATCTGCATAAAATGTTGATTAATATCTAAAACCCTTTTACGGCAAAAAATTGGTTTTCAATTGTTTCTTTGAAAGGTCACTGAAATTAATACGATTTATAAAATTGGTTATAGCGTGTGAAATTTCCTGTATAGTCTCATACTATTTGGTATTGTTATAATGGAAAAATATAAAATATAGGGTGTCCCATTTAAAAAAAAAACTAATTTTGATATGTATCACTTTCTTGGAAAACCCTGTATAAATGAAAATATTTTTAAATTGTTGCTTCTTCTGATATACATATTGCTATGAACACAGATTTTTGGCTCTACCGAACGAGGTGCTACCGGTGGCCCACCCTGTATATTAAAAAAAAATAATTGATTCTTCATAATTTCTTTTGTCTGTTAAATAAACATGATTCACGTTTGTAAAATTAAAAATATTTTAATACGATTTTGAATGAATGAAAAAATCGAAAAGACAAATGATGTTTTTTTATAAGAGCGTGTCCAAACATTTTTACTTAATTTTTTTTTTTTTTTTCAAACAGGTAAAAAGTCCTATTTCCTACTTTGGTTCTCATTTTCTCAAAATCTATAAGATTGGAGATACGATTTTTTACTTCTAAGGTACAGATATAATTATAAAAACTTGATTACCTATTGCATTTTTTGTTTTAGATGAAATATTGTCCATAGAGCGCAAACTTATTGGATCGCCCTGTAATAATAGGTTTTTAATTCCAAAATAATAATTTTCTAATATCCCAACTTCCAACTAATTATAAATTTCAAGCATTTACTATTGCACTGCGCTTGTCATGAATGAGGATCATATGTGACCTCCCAGGGGCAGACTCTAGTCGTCACACTCCTTTAAATCCAAACGGGGATAGCCGAACATACTTTGATTCCATAAGTAGCATCTACACTTTAAAATCGTTCGTTTGTTGCTAAATATACAGGATGCCAGTTTTTATTAGCCAGTTTGTAACTCGCATAATAATTATCAGAAGTAAATGAAATTTGTGGGCTATTGGAAGGGTATATTTTAAAATATCAAGAACTTACCAGAGGAGAGATCATGAATACACTTTTTATGTAAAATATCTCTAGGTTATATTAGGTATGCCTTTTGTCGAATAAAAAATTTAGTTTATTGAATTTCATAACAAGAAAATGCACAATATTCGAAAATACGCTTCTCAGATAGCCCATAAGGTTTCCCTAATTCGTATATGTCTGAAGTATATTTTTACTAATTTTACAGGAAACTGTAAAAATAATAATAAGAGTTTACGAGCATCGCGGTTACGGTGTTTCTAAAATGGTGAATCTTAATTTGATACTTATTTTTAATTGCGTGTAGCAAAATAATTAAGTTTTTCAATAAATAAAAAAATTACATTAATGTATTCCAAAATGTATCCAATACGGTCCTGCCTAATTTTGTCCATTCGATTCAACACAATAGCACTTCGAAACAAACACACTTCATGTCTTTGCGTATCGGCCTCCCTACATGTTCCCCACGATGGTCCGGCAATACACTTATACCCCTAGCCCGTTGAGTTAGATTAATGAAAGTTCTGAGACTAAGAAGCTCTTACAAACCCGCTATTGACTATATTACAATAACCCGTGTAATGTGATTCATACATAGGAAATCCCTAAAAGTAGGTAAAACTGATAAAAACATAAACATACCTATTTAACTTAATTTTTATACAAAATTCCAATCCCGGATTTAAATTTTTTAATTCTGCATCTTTCTTATTTTGAGTTTTTTGTAAAATATGTTTTATTTACCAACTTCTACATGCAAAAAAGTATCAACTCAGGATTCACCCTGTAGTAATAAGAAATAGTAGCTTTTTTAGATGCAGGTTTTTTATTAGGTTGATTAGTGACGTTTTATCCATCTATCTTATGCCTTGGTTTCTTTGAACACTCCGTCGCGGTGAGCGGACAGTCCGTCGACCGCTGAGGACAGCAATTTTCGCCCGAGGTGGTTTGTTAAAAAATATATAAAATGATACTTTCTCTAGGTCTGTTCGTGCTGTTTATGTATTATGAATGTAAACGAAAGGTACTAAAATGGATGCAAATAAATTGTTTGCGTTGTTATTATTGTTGGAAGAGGAAGAACAAGAGGAACTGGCAATTGCAACCGTCAAAGTTTCCAATAAGCCAGTGGATGAGTTGTTTTTGTGTCGCGGAGGTTTTTTGGAAATGAAACCAAATTTAGGGAGTATTTTAGACTTTCTACAGATCTTTTTGAATTCGTGTTGAGTTTTATAAAGGACATAATTTCCAAGAAATCTAAAAATAAAGTCATGATGTCATCTGTATGTGTGAATTTGTCACTCATTGTTTTAAAATTAATAACAATATAGTCTCCGCACACGCCGACGATTCCGCTGATATCAAACTCAACAGATATCAACCGACTCTTCGCGACAAATCAGCGGCATGACGCCGTCCTGCTCAGCTAAGCGGATTCAAGAAAACCATTCCCATTTAAATACTCTGGTTGGATAAAATCGTCAAAACGCGACGGTTGACGGACTGTCCGCTCACCGCAACGAAGTGTTCAAAGAAACCAAGGCTTTAACGAGATGGCGACAAAATCTCAATTTTGATAAAAAGTAGACTTCCGACATTTGCAAATTAGGTTAACGATATTCATTATAGCTCTCGCCTAATTTAAAGCTAATAAAAAGTTAAGGATTTAAATATATACATTTTTATAAACATTTAAATATAAAAATATTTGTCAAATCGCCCCACTTTAAAGTATGATTTTTGTATGAACCCAGGTTGATAAAATACATTAAAACTAAGTGAGTTTTTATAAAATTATTGTAAAAATTGTTTTTGTTATGTTTGGGAATAAAGCAAAACGTTACAAAAGTCCATAAGTGCTTTCCGTACAAATTTTTTACCTTTCTTACATCGTGTGACAATTAGCTTGTCGTCCTTCTACACGATATCACAAAGGAGGTTTTAAGAAGAATTAAGATAACGGATGGGATTAGAATTTGTGTGCGCCGACGAAATGGGAATCTGATTGACTTCAAATCTACGAGTTCGGATGTGAAAATCATGTGTCTCG